AGCTCTTTCATGCCACCAGGACCAAACCCAGACAGGCAGATGGAAAGGCAGCGCGCCTTCATTCAGTGTCAGTAGTTCTCTCTATTTTTTGATGTGAAAGGGGCAGTACAGTCATTTAAACTTTATCCAACCTCTTTGCATCTTACAAAGTTAAACAGCTAAAAGAAGTAAAATAAGAAGGCAATGCTTGTGGAATGTACAGTGCATAATTTGGAAGGGCAGATTTCATTACGATTCACCCGCTTGCTTCTCCTGTTCAATTGCTGGAAGAGAGGAAAAAAATAAGAATTTTAAAAATAAAGATGAAGTACTTTACTTTTTTAAATATAAACTTTATATTTTTATGGAATATAGAAATCAACTGTAGATTTATAAAATTGGTAGAAAATTATCTTAATAGCAAAATGTACTACATGTAACTTTACAGTGGTTCAGAAATTTTATATCTATTCAGTAATCATACACATATTTCACATAATGTATATGTATAAAAACTGTCTCTCTACCCTGTCTTTATCTTTTCCTTGCCTTTTCCCTCTCCCTGTTAAATTATACATACTTACTTTCTTTTGAAGGCAGTGGATTTTTCTCTTGCGTTTCTGTTTTCTTCAATTTAGTCTTGTCAAATTTCTCAATTTCAGCCATATCTGGTTTGTCGGACATTTTTGCAGATTAATCTGTACGTGGAAAGGAAAGACAGTTAGACTCCTCCACCTTTTATTCAGAAATGCGTTACTCACTCCTTGATCTCCAGCCAGCAACCCCGCCTCCCGCCTCAAACTCCCTCTTTAAGAGGTACGTAATAGCCTCTCTCTTTTTTTTTTGGTAATAAGATATATATTCAGCGAAATAAAATTCATCGTGTAACATGTGGGGTGAAATGGTATGTACAAATCTAGCCAAGGCTGATTAAGGAGTTTAAAACAAAATCAATGCAGGAAATATGTTGTTTTATCATCAGATCATTTTTTTAAAAGTGGAAATGTAATCCATTATCAAAACAATTGCCTATTGTTGAGACTGTTTTCTTCTCATTAAAATCTCTTCAATGTTTCCACGTTGTTCTGAAGAGAACAATAGGAGGATGGTGCCTGGAAGAGGCTATTTATCTTCAAAAAAAGATTTAATGCACACACACAAATTTAAAAATGTAAAATAATGCCAATGCCAAGCAAGTGGACTATGCTAATCACATTCTCCACCTTGGGGTCTGTCTGTCTGCTCTTTCTTCCCTTAGCACATTTGGATGAAGTCCTGCATTCTTTTCTCCTCACAAAGAACTGCATGCAGCTGCAGTCTGAGGAAGCTCAAACCACCGCCCTTGCTCTGTTTGCTGCCTTTCTCCTTCTCAGCAATGCAGCCACACATTCAACGCTGCCTGGATTTAAACAAAGATTTTCTTGTACAGATGCACACACAAACACTCACCCCCTCTTTCAGCAGCGGAAGGTTTAAACAATACCACCTCCCTTTGCTCCCCTCCCTGTATTAGGAGTTTGAGATTTTAGCACACATCTGCTTGTAGTAAATTCCCTTCTAAATAGCAGGGAAGGAAGAAGTAATGCGTAGATCAACAAAATCTCCTGTTGGTGGGTCACAGATACTAAAATAGTCAATTAGTGTCGACAAAGATGCCAGCCTTTTTTGTCAAGCCAGAACAAAGGAAATCGAGAGGGCTTCCCCCATTCTTTCCTTAGACTCGCATTTAACATTTTCACTCAATCTATCCAACTTTAACGACGCCACTAGTCTTAAGCACTGGCTTACAATTAACAGCTCTTGGGTGCATTTGAAAGCATCAGGAATATTCCATCCTGAAATTTAGTAACAAAGCAAAGGGCGTTGAAGAAGGACTTGGGTTAAAAATCCACACTCCTCAGCACAGACACGGGGAAATGCATGCTAATAAAAGGGGAGAGCGAGGGAAAGAAAACCATAGTTGAAATATAAATTGTAGCCTCACCACTGATGCTCTGCACAGAAGTAACTCAAGTCTTTGCAGCTGCTGCTCTGGACTGTAGTATAAGCGCTGTCTCTGCATGAGCGGTTATATCCTCACTTCTATGCAAATGAGAGTGATGTCATTTTAGTCGGCTTAACCCTTTCTCTACACTCCCACTTCCTGGCTTCCTTTTGTATGTTGTTATTATTAACTATTATTATTTATTACACCGTGCTAAAAAAGCAAAAGCCAGCAACCAGCTCCCCCATGGAAAGCATTCGTTTTGTAGACAGCTGTCCCTGAAAAGAATGTTAGGGAATTTGTGGGTGTGAGATTCGTACTAATGCCAAACTATCACAAGGCAAGGCCTGTTGTAGCAGCTAGGACATGACACGCACCCCCGTACTAGAAAACGGGCATCGTAAATACAACACAGGGGGATGCTATCTCTGTGGTCCTAATGCAATGATGGAAGGCGGGAGGGGGGTGAAATGACAATGTCACTCCATGGTTCCCCTTCATGTCGATGTGAAAGGATTTTCCCCTTATATTTTTGTTTACAGCGATTATTGTCTTCTGGCCCTTGAACACTGTCTGACATCAGGTGGGTTATTGCATTTGGTGCTAAAATCCCAGCTGGGGGGGGGGGGGGGGGAGAGGAATCCCATTTTAAAATCACTCTAGTTAGAACAATACCTTTTTAACAGATGAAACTCTGGGCCATATCATGCCACCCATTATTAAGCAGAAATCTCAGTTGAAATTAATGGAAAGTTTTGCTTAAAAAATCAATGGCAACAATATGCTGGCTCCAGAAAATAGCATAGCAAAGTGCTTACTGTTTGTAATTGCTGCTTTTCTTTCTTCATTTTTACTTCCTCTTAGTGTGTCTGAAGGCGGGAGGGTCCAGTGATAGCTGTTTTTTTACATTTTGCAGAGAAACTGCAGCCATGTTGTGACCATATTGTGCTGCATTTCCAAAACCCTGGTATATTTTTGCTCAAACTTTTTGTAGATTTCTTTTTGTTGAGCAATAGTTTCTTACTGCTCATGTTACTCAAATTTCCTCACTTACAAAACCTCATCTCTATCAGATAGCAGACTCCAGGAACTGCCCCCCTGCTGTCCTTGCGATTGTGCTGCGAGTGAAAGAAAGAAATCATATAGGCAGGCTTTCTCGCAGCTTCAGCAGACAATAGCTCTAAGGAGACCCTGACTTGCCCCTCTCCACCCCTAGCTCCATTCACTACAGCTGGGTTATCACAAACCATGCATCTCCTTGTGTGCTTCAAGTTCTGATTCTTTGTGGTTGGAGGGCAGACAGAGGCATGGTATATGGATTTCCACAATACTAGGCCTCAGCTAAGCAAAGCCTGGGACCTCTCCATGCTGTATATTTCAAGCCTCCTTGCACCAAGCATTGCAAACATAAGCAGCACATCTAAAGAAGTAAAATGATCCATTTGTGAGAACACGAGGGTCTAGATGTTTGGGTAATTTTTGGATATGGGGGAGGGGAGGATGGCTGGAATATTGTTTCTGTGTATACAGGATTGGACAGTGCGCCAAACTATCCATGCAAAAATAGACACGAAAAAGTTAAATCTCTGAATTTTAACTATCCTGATTCATTGTCTCCGGGAGAATGGAGGAAAGGGAGTTTCACAGTTCACACCAAAAGGGCAAGGTTTGTGGGGTCCTGAATTGTGTATGTGGAAATTCATTTAATCTTGGCTGATCCTGGGACATCTATTTGGAGACCCATGCTGCCCGCTGTGTTGCTCCTTGGCCCCACGCCCTGGCAACCTCTGTGTGTGTATGTGTGTTGGAGGGCATTTGAAGCCACAATTCCTAAGCAGCATTAATTTACACTAATTAATTAATTAGCCTCTTAGAGTTGGTTGGGTAACTCCCACCTTTTCATGCTCTCTGTATGTATATATATATCTCCTCACTATATGTTCCATTCTATGCATCTGAAGAAGTGGGCTGTAGCCCATGAAAGCTTATGCTCAAATAAATTAGTCTCTAAGGTGCCACAAGTACTCCTGTTCTTAATTTACACTGGTCATTATGAATAAATCTATGCCAGTTCCTGAGGGGAGCATGCCACACAGAGTGGCTGCTAAATGGCTTTGCCTTCACCTATTACCAGGCAGGCTCCATAAAATCCACAGAGTCTTAATTTCATAGGGAGAAATCCTGGCCCCATTGGAGTCCCCGCAAAAGTCTCGTTGACTTCACTAGGGCCAGGATTTAACATATTGTTCACACAGGAGGCAATCCCATGTATGGGGGCAAAAGGGGTCAAGAAATTGTTTCCATGATCTGGGAAACACACAAGACTGAAGGCCAAAGGAACTGTTTAGAAAAGAAAATGGAAAAGAACATACAGTACTAAAGTCTCTTGAGAAATGGTTGGGACATAGATGTTTATTCTAGATTTTCATAATAAAAGAATCCTGGAATATTTTCTTTATTAAACACAAAGCAACTTTGCTAATATGTGAGCAAGATTTATAGGATAGCATTATGATTATTTCACTACTTGCAAATTTTGTGAATGTTGAATCTTGTAAATCTGAATAGTTAAAATATTCCAATTATTAGCCTTTTTCTACAGGGTATGAAGTCAATTATGGCTCTACAATCTCAGATCTTTGGGCTTTCAAAAGGATCTTTGTAACCACTGAAATGAATGTTGCTAAAGAGTTGAGTGCAAATTTTTCTTGAAAATTCCCTGAGCAGACTGCCTATTTCTTCACTTCTATGGCTCCAGCAAACACTTATGCATGTGCTTATCTGTAAGTATGTGAGTGATCTCATTGTACTCTCATTGACTTCCAAGGGAATACTCATGTGCTTAGAGCTAGGCATGCGTGTGAGCGTTTACAGGATTTGGGCCTGTATTTCTGAAAGCAGTTGGCCCAGTGGCAGGTACCTCATCTTTTGTTTCTTAGTTTGGGACAGATGCCCAGCTGGCATAAATCAGAGGAGCTCCATTGATTTCCATGGTGATTTATACCCACTGAGTATCTAGCCCAAATTTAGATTCAGTTATGGTTCCGAATGCCAGAGCAGTGCTAGGGCTCTAGTCTTTCAGCTTCAACTTGCCACCCTCCCTAGTCCCGCCTGCTCCCATGCACTCAGGCTGGGATATTTAGAATCTACTCCTATGATAAATATCAAAAGCCTGTTTATTGTAATACACTTATGACCTGATGCTGACATTTTTCTCCCATTGAAATGAATGTGCTTATTGAGTAATGGCAGGAAATAAACTGGAAGTAATTTCTGACTGTAAATGTATCTCTATAGGGCATATTTTATTAGTGATGGGAGTTACAGAATTTGCGTACCTTAGTGCCATACTTTTTAGGTATATTGTGACTGTGAGAAAGGTGCTTGATCATCCAGTACTAATCCATTGCAAAATACTCTAGGGGACAGGAAACTTCAAAGTGCACTTGAAGGTACCAATGCAAAGCTCATAAATAGACCAACCAGGACATAGTCTGTATTGGATAGCTGGCTTAGAAATTCTCATTCTGGATATTGATGATCTGTTAAATTTTTCATTACTTCATTAGGTTTTGTCATCAATTTCGTCTCCTGATTTTTAAAAAAATTTAAATCAATACATCTTCAGTGATGTAATGCCTCAGTGGACATGCATTCTGGTAGCTGTTTGCATGTTAAAGGCATGCACTTTTCTGCATGTTAGACAGGAGTTGGCCTCATGCTAATTTAGTGTGCTGTAACTCAATGAAGGAACAAAAACACAGAGGCTGCAAATCCTGTCTCATGTTTTTGCTAGTTGTAACAGGACAAATAGTGAATGGTGATAATAATTCAAAGCCCTCATGCATCATTTCATATGTCCAAAGCATTGTACAAATATAACATCACCCAAATATTAACACCCTCTTTAAGGTAAATATTGCCCTTATTTTGCAGACTGGGAAGCAAAGATGCTAAATGACTTGCCCAGGGCAAAGCAGCAAGGGCCCAGTCTGAAATCCACTGAAATCAATGAAAGTATCTCCACTTGGGAGTATGTCATTGACTTCAATGGGTGCTGGATCAGGCCCCAGTCAGTGGCAGTCAGAGATGTGATTAAAATTCAAGACTTGCAACCTGGTACTAATTCCTCCAGACTGTGTCTGAGTTAATTAAAACACATATACAGGGAAGTAATTATAGTAAAAATGAGGAACGAGAATATCTATGTGACACAGTGGCAGAGATTAATTCCCATGTCATTTAGTCCGTTATAATGGAAAGAGTGCTCACTGGCACAATAAATAAATGAATGAATAAAAAAGAAATCTGCATATAAATTTCTCCATCATCTGGCAAGTAAACTTAGAGAAGAGCAACCAAGTGATTGGTTGTCCAGGATTTGAACTTCACATGAGAAATCTTATTCTCAGATGACTTTAATTGTCTGCCAGAACTTACTTTCTCTGCAGTTTGCAAAAAAGGTTACATAGAACCAGGAGTTGGCAATGAGAATTGAGAATGTAAATAAGAAGGTGCTCACGTGTTGCAATTTTTTAAGTCTCTGCTAGACTAACAATGCTCCTTGTTGTAGGCTATTTGCTGACACCATGATTTTGCTATTATGATATAATTGAATAAAGCACTTAAATACAACACTCAATACATCCCTTTTTATATTCCACTCTACTTGGTACTAATTCCAGCAGGTTATTGAGACACTCAAAACGTGTCCAAATCTTTTTTTTTAGGTAGATATAAAAGTATTCATTTAACAGGCTATTTAAAGGGGCATACTATTTTTTCACAGGTTTAACTCCAAAAGAGCAGTTACAAAATGCCTCCTCCCAGTGCTAATTGGCTTTACAAATAATGTAGTCTCCTTTTTGTTGGGCCAGATAATGGAAAGTTCGCAACAGGCCATGACATTAATAAGGTAAAACTCATGGGGTAGCAACAGAGGGTTTAGGAAACTGAGGTTTATCTCTTGGAGTTCAAGGGCTTCCACAGGCTCTCATGGAGGGAGGAGGCTGCTGAGGCTCCCTTCTGCGTCTGTGTCTGGGTTTGCTTCCTTCCCTTTTGTCTGCATAGGTGAGCCCGTATTTCAATATGCACAAATAACAAT